GTATTAGCCTTGATATCATGAATGTCATCAAAATGTCTTCCTTTCAATATTTCCTTTATCTTTGGGTAAAGAAAGAAGATATTGGGGGCCAGAGCAGGTGAGCAGGGAGGGTATTCTGATACAATTATTTGTTTACTGGCTCAAAACTCCCTCAAAGACAGTACCGTGTGAGCTGGTGCATTGTCGTGATGCAAGAGCCATGAATTGTTGGCGAAAAGTTCAGGTTGTTTTCATCTAACTTTTTCATGCAGCCTTTTCAGCACTTCCATATAGTAAACTTGGTTAACTCTTTGTCCAGTTGGTACTAATTCATAATGAATAATTCCTCTGATATCAGAAAAGGTTAGCAACATTGTTTTGACTCTTGATTTGGACTGATGGGACTTTTTTGGTTGTGGAGAGTTGGCTGACTTTCATTGTGCACTTTGACACTTTGTTTTAGGGTTGTATTGGTACACCCATTTTCATCATCAGTGATAACACAGCCAAAAACATCGTCTTGCTTCTCCAAAAGGTCTTGTCAAACTTCGAAGCTCCTTTGCTTTTGTTTATTGGTGAGCTCCTTTGGAACCATTTTTGCACACACCTTTCTCATGCCAAGATTTTCAGTTAAGACTTTCCTAACTGTTTCTCTGTCGATGTTTACTATACTTGGTCTGCTATGCTTCTCACAGTCAGCCAATGATTTTGGCACACAATTTGATGAAGTTTTGCAATGTTTTTGTCAGTTCTGCTCATTACTGGCCTCCCTGACCTCTTTTCATCAGTGATGTATTCTCTCCCCTCAGAAAAACGTTTAATCCATTTGTACACTGCTATTTTCTTCATGGTATTATCCCCATAAACTTGGATTAACATGTCCCTGATTTCACTTCCACTCTTGCCAAGTTTAACAAGAAATGTAATGTTTGTTCATTGCTCTAATTCAAGCTCAGACATTCTTGCAATGGTACACAAAAACACACAACAATAATGAACGCCACTCAGCAAGTCACTGCCACACGTCAACAGGAACACAGCTGTGAGACACTGATACACCAAGGTTATGAAACCTTACTGAGCTGTTTGTACAGTGCTGACAATGTAAGCATATGGTGGTAAGTTCGCAAACTTAATTGTCAGACCTTCTATAAATCCAACTTCTTAAAAAAAGAATGATGTCCCATAAGAAAACTTAAGTCTCACTTCCCAAAGGGAATGGAGAACCATAAACAGATTCATAATTCTGATTATTTGATTTTTAGCATATGTTTGGATTAAAAATGTATCTTTATTCTATTTTAAGAACCTAGAATTTGGCCAAAGGATTATGTGTATTCTTGTTGACCCAAGTGTTGTTCCTGAACTAGTAGCATAAACATCACCTTGTCAGAAATACACAATATCAGACCCTATCCCAGACTCACTGAATCAGACATGTATTTTAACACAGGAAATTCATACACACATTAAAGTTTGAGAAGTGCTGACTTAGGCCATACTCTTACATTAGCATACACAGAGTATCCTCAAAGTTGTCATCTGAAGAAATTAAGAAAACGTGAAGTACTGTATTTCCCCATGTATAAGACGCACCCTTTTTTGAAAAATTTGGGGTCTAAAAACTGGGCACATCTTTTACAGTGGTTATATATTTCAAATGCCATAGATGGAACTGAGGAGAGGCAATATATGAAGACAGTGATTCGTCATCAGACACAGATGAGGACAAGCTAATGATTGGGAGTTTTGACAGTGATGGGAGTTGTATGAATTTTATAATGAATAAAACTTGAGTTCAATAACTTTATATAATACATTTTTTTTCAAATTTTGGGGCGCAAAATTAAGGTGCATCTTATACATGGGAGCATCTTATACATGGGAGTGCCTTATACATGGGGAAATAACGGTACGTACTCTTTTTCCAACTTTGGGGGCAGAGAAGGACTGCACATTTTATTTTGGTTTTAAGTGGGAAAATAGTGATAAATTGATTGCTCCTATAAAATCTTTGCCAAGTTGTAAACTGCATGTGTGGAGGGGAAATTTTATTTTTATCTGGGATATCAAGGATCATCACTATGTATGTGGAAAACGTTTGATCTCTAACAGTTTTTTATATGATTAGGGAAGCTAAGGAGACAAGACAGAAAAAATTGCAAACAACTTCAAAATAGATAATAAGTATCTTATATACACTGAGCTATTTACATGAAAAGATACATGGAAATTTTTTTTGCTATGATGGTTAACGAATTACTTAAAATATACAGATGCTCTTAGACTTACGAAGGGGTTATGTCCTGATAAACCAATCGTAAGTAAAAAATATCCTAAGTTGAAAATGCATTTAATACACCTAACCTACTGAACATCATAGCTTTGTCTAGTCTACCTTAAACATGCTTAAATACAATATCCATAAAATGCTGGCAACATAGTACACTGTAAAGTATCGGGTGTTTACCCTCATGATTGTATGCCTGAGTGGGAGCTGCCACTGCCCAGAATCATGAGAGAGTATCATACAGCATATCACATATTGCTAGCTCAGGAAAAAAATCAAAATTCAAAATTTGAAAGTATGGTTTCTATTGAATGTGTATTGCTTTCACATCACTATAAAGTCAAAAAATCGAATGTTGAACCATTAAGCCGGGAACCATCTGTATTTTGGGGCAGCATAGCATCACTGTCTTGCAAGTTAACTTGCTGTAATTTATCAATGTCTTCAGATAAAATGAAAGCAAATTTAAAAATAAAAATGTCCTTGTTAAAGAAATAATTAACTTTTGAAAACATACCATTTTCTTCCAAAAATATGTTCAATCCATTCACAATATCTTGCCTGTTTCTTCTTGTCATTCAATTCTATGATCTAAATTACAAAACATAATTAAAATGCCTATGAGAAAGTTCTTAAAAATCAAGTTCAACATTAAAGATAATTTTTAAAATTCCAGCTATTACTTTGTGTTGTTCAGCATCTGAACATAAGTTATCTAGAAAATTACATTTGAATATTTAAGTCCTTTATAAATAAACTATTTTATTTAAAGAAAACTAGAAACTTTAGGTTGGTTTCCAAAAGGCCCTAGATACAAGTCTAGGTTAAAAATTTAAACACCTGATTTAATAATTCTTTTAAAAGATATTGAATGGTGTTGCAAATCTGTAAGGAACTCAAAAGGACTGACTGAAATCATACTGACTTCTTAGCGTAGAAAGGAAAGGCAAATGACCCTCTACTTTTCTAGTAATCTGCTACCACCATTAATTAGCAAAATGCGGAGAGACTTTTTTTCCACTTTGATTCTATTATGGCATCATCCCAGAGAATCTGAAGTGAAAGCTCTTGCAAGGTTATGAGGGCCTCAATAACTGTCAAATAGACTTTCTCTGTTACCTCAGAGCCTTTCTTTATTTTTTTGGTCGTCTTAATTCTCAAGTAGCCTGGCCACTTGCTCTAATTTTAACTTGGCTGAAGTGTTCTGAACCCTATTGTGTACTTTTCTGCTTAAACATTTTAATTGCTTCTCAAAGTCCTTAGGATAAAATTTCCCAAATCTGTAGATGTCTATGAGAACTTTTATGATCAAGGTAGTGCCTGTCACTCTAATCCAATTAATTTACACCTCAGGATTGAGTGATGCAGAATTCCTTGCCCTCACCAATGCACTGGCACATACTGTTCTCTCGGCCTGAAAGACCCTTCTATTCTTTCTTCTCCCAGATAATTCCTTATCAATCTTAAGATTCAGCTCACAAGTTTCTTCCATAGGTTTCTCTAAATTGGGAGTGGGTACCCCTTTATGCTTCAACAGTACGTACATATTTCCATATATTATATTGCAATAGTTTTTCTCCTCTAGAGAGCAAGGAATGTCTTCTCTCTGTACTGTGTTCAGCAGTAAGTGTGACATTCAATAAACGTCACTGAATAAACAAAGGAATGAATATACAACTAGGTGGAGATGGAGGAGTTTGTTATAGTGATTACAAGCCCAATTTGAGTAGGGCAGAAGAAATCCACCTTTTCCCTTGATTAGTTTAAAAGATTTTATGGAGAAGGTGGGCTAGTTCAGAGGTATTTAAATATGGTCAACAGTAATGTAGTGATAACTAACTGAAAAGAGGTATTCCAGGTCCTAATAAACATTCAAGACAAAATAGAAACAAAATTACAGAATGTTAGAAATAATTGCACATTTGGGGGTCAAATTCAATGTCTTCATTTCAGAGATGAGAAATGAATGTCTTAACAGTAGTCAGGGTGAGGTCTTCTAAGTTTTAGTTTGTTTTCTATTTACTGAAATGATAGATTTTAGAAAGAATCAGTAAGAAAAAATACAGTATGGGCTAAAAAAATTGCACTTCAGATTGTTTGGGAAACTTCGATAAAGGACAGGACAGTGGTTCTCCAAGTGTGGCTCAAATTTGATAGCCACTGGGAGAGGATTTTAAAAACAAGAGCTCTTTACATTAATTTGTAGTGGTTTAAGGGAAAATACAAAGTGTGATAAAAAATAAGTAATCAGAAATCTCAAGGCAGCAGTGGTGAAATCTCAAGGCCAATGGTATGTGGCTAGTATTACTGGAAACAATGAAGGTTTTGAAGATGAAAAAAAAATTTATTTTTTTTTAAGATTTTATTGGGGAATTGGGAGAGGGGAACAGTGCTGGGGAATTGGGGGAAGGGGAACAGACAAGTTGCTGTCCTTTTGTTCTTCAGCCTAGTTGTGGAGGACGTCGCTTCACTGGTCCATGTTGGTATTATCATTGTGCTCTTCCCAGGTGAGGCAGATCGGTCGCTGGCCACTGGACAGCAGCTCCCAGCGGCTCTTGGCAGCTCACGCTGGCTGCCAGCCACTCACAGCAGCTTACGTCAGCCCGCTGCAGCAAGGGCTGCAGCCTACGCTGTCACCGGCAACTCAAGGCAGCCCAGCTCCAGGTTGAGCTGTTGTTCACCATCTTAGCTATAGAGGCCACAGCGTCACTGGCCCACATGTGGGATCCAAACCAGGGCCCTGCTGCTCAGAGCTGGCGTCCCAAGCCAACCATTAACCAATGCGCCACTCGGCCGGCCCTGAAGATGAAAAATTTTTAGTTTAGATCAAGCCAAAGATCTAGAATAAGGTAACCGTTAACTCTTGATTATTTATGCTTATGAAGAAGTAGTTGACAATTTTGTCATATTTTAAATTTGGCTTTGCAGTAAAGTTTATGATTTTTCTCTCACTACTTAACTTTTAGTTTATGGTAGTATCAACATTTGAAGTGGAACTGTAGAGTACTAGAGCAGCTGTGGGCACTCAGCTGTGGGCAAATCATTTAATCATTCTGGGTTGTATTTTCTCTTCTGTAAAATTGTTTAGCTCAGATCACTTTAAAGACTCTTTTTAGCAACTATGAACATTAGTTTGCCTGAATGAACCTAGATTATTCCAAAAACAAGTATAGTTCATTTAAGTACTTTATAGTGGCATTTTAATGTGCTTGACGACTTTGGCTTTTATGTTAGTAGGTCAACGTTTGGGTGCCCCATAAATAGGTCATGTTTACATTTTTAGTTAAGAAAAGTAGGCTGCAGTGGGATGGATTGCAATTCCTGAAATCTCAACCACAAAACCTGGATAATGTCAGACTCAAAGAGCCAATGAAAATAACAAAAATCTGTCCCTCTGAATTCCAGCCTAACATTTTTTAGTATGTTCAATATCTGTAACCTCATAGGCATTGTTGGACCATGTGTGGCTACCCTCAAGGCAAAGTCCAGCCAAACGGGGCCTACAGGCTTTGGTGTCATTCCTGTGCTTTAGCCTAGGCTGGGATCCCAAGCAAGACCATTAGGTCTCCGGAGCACTTTGGGGTATTCACACCTTGAGTCTTCACTCTCCCCTATCAAGTCCCAATCTAGCAAGGAAAATGGGCAACTTGAGGTGAGGTTGTCCTTTCCCTCTGGATCGCCACTCCTTGCTCTTAATCCCCCCTTCCCAGACTGCATCGGCCGTTCCCTTCATCCTGGGAGCCAGGGTTTCACTGTCGTGGCCACCTGCTCCAGCTATTTCATCCCACCCTGCTGCTGCTACCCAAGGGCTTGTGGGGGTTATAGCTTGTGGGGCGGGGCTTCCGCCTCCACCTTGGGAACCGGGAGGCGGGGCCTTAATTGAACTGGCTGGGCTTCTGCCCACCACTACTACCCCAGGCTCTCATTAGGAAAAAACTTTGCAGCCCCTAGTTAATCTAGCATTCCTTAGTGGCATTTGGGAGTGTTTTATACGTTTTTTCCTCCCAAATACTTAGTTTGACCCTAATGATTCTTTAAGGCCTACTTTTCATTGTAGGCAGTATAATAGTGGTAAACAACGCAAGTTCTGTGATAAGAATCTCAATAGAACCTACAATCCTAAATTTGTTGTGAAGATCAAATGAGATCATAGAAGTCCATAGTGTATCCAGCAAATAGGTGGTAAATACTTGCTGTCATTACTAACCTGATTTGGCAGAATCCAGAACTGAAAAGAAAAAGCAACACAAGTTTACTCATCTGAGAGGTGGTTGTAGGACCTTGCAACACACTATGTCAGCTAAAAAATGAGTCCAGATTTTGCTTAGGGCTGGTACAAATGTTATGATGCAAATTTCATCATCTTCTATATCTCTGTGAGCTTTTCTTTTCCCAGTTTATCCAGTAAATTAAAATGGATTACTGTTAGAAAGTTCTCCCAGGCAGAGGCCCAAAGTTTTAAAGGGATAATGAGAAAAAAAAATAGTAGTTGGCTTATGGGAAACAGGACAATATTGACAGGATAAAAGCCTGGCTATAGGTAGAATTCCAGGTGTCCCAATTTGCACCTCTTAACACAAGGGTTTAGCCTTTTCACTGTTAGCTGATTTCAAGTTTGTTCTCCAAAATATGTCAAAAATCCACAGAAAATAATTACAGTATTTACATTTTTAAGTAAATACAGTTAAGATGCTACATTTTATTAAAATAAATGATTCAAGTATAAAAATGTCCTATTGTTACTCATTCTTGAAAAACACAAACATATAGAAAATGTATATCTGCTTTCCTAAACATCCTTTCTGGGAACACTGAGCTCATAGGGTAAAGTCGGACGCCACAGTCAGCAGCACAGAACTATCATTCAACTATAGATGAACATTGCAGCTTGTTTTAAGAATTTAAAAAATTCTCCTTGAGAAATTGGGAGATGACATGAGTACAGAGACACGATAGCCAGCATATCTTACTTTATACAACAAATATATTCACTGAAAATAATGTATCAACTTTTTGTAAATTAAGTACTTTGGTGCACTGTGGGACCTGGTTTTTGAGAGGGCACAAGCACAATGAATAATCTTAACCTAAATTTTCTGTTAAAAATACGTGATCTTTCCATGCTCTATGACATATTTCAACCCAAGCCCAATGATTTCCATGACAGAACTTCTAAACTGTTACCCGCTCTTACCCAAATAGAGGTAAATGGCAGAATTTTCAAAGTTTTTTCTTCTTTCTCTGAACTTCATTTTCTCACTTTCTCCCACTTCCTGTCTCACCATCCTACTTTAAACTAGGATTGACAACTCGTCACATATGCCGAGTCTGTGATTTCTCCCTGCACAGGACTGACTGATCCAGTGTATTAGTTCAGACAGCCATGACAAAATACTGTAGACTGGTGCCTTAAACAATAGGTACTTACTTTCTCACAGTTCTGGAGTCTAGAAGTCCAAAATCAAGGCGCAAGCACAGCTGGTTTCTAGTGAGGACTGTCTTCTTGGATTATAGAGGGCTACCTTCTCTGCGCATCCTGATGTGTGGGGGGACGGGAGGGGGTTTGTGGGACAAAAGGATGGCTAGCAAACTCTCTGTCTCTTCTTATAAGGGTGCTAATGCCACCAGGATGGTCCCACCCTCATGGCTTCATCTAAATCTAATTACCTTCCAAAGGCCCCATCTTCAAATACCATCACACTGGGTGTTAGAGCTTCAACATATGACTTTTGGGGACACAATTCAGTCCAAAGCATCTAGTAAATCAGATACTACTAGGTATCATCCAATTTGATGTTTTCAAACAATAATATTATAAAGGCTGATTCTTGAGAATACAATAAATAGTCTATATTAGTTTATTTAAGTTTTCTACAGTTTTTGAAATGTTTTTCAATATACAAACAGGCCAGTGAATCTTCACTTATAAAAATAACCATTTAACACATGATAGTACAGAGATGGGTTAAAAACTGACTCATAGTATTTTATGACCAAATCAATTTCAATAGTAACTAAATTTCTTAAACATATTTAGTCATGTAGCTTCTGGAAGATGAATTAAATGATGAAAAAATGGGCGACCATGAACACACCCTTTAATTTCATTTCCAAATTGGTGCTTCATTGTGTAGATAATGTCTTGGATGTCCTCCTTTGGTAAGTACATGGGTAACTGTCTAGATAGACGCACTGCTTCTCCCTGTGAAGAGAAAGCCATACATTTTACCATGTTTTACCCTGAAGCAGAAATATGTTATTCCTGGCAAGGTGGAACATTGAAAATTGATTGTATTCCTTTTATTATTCATTCACTTAATGGATATGTATTAAGCACCAATTATGTGCTAGCCACTGTTGTAGCTTCTAGGAATACAAAGGAGAACAAAACAAACACGATCCCTACTCTCTTGAAATTTACATCTAGTTCAAAGAAACACAAAAGAAAAAAGACAATTGCAGTAGAATAATATGTACAAAATGAAACTGGGCAAACATGATGGAAAGTAATGATGTGGTTAGTAAGAGCTTCCTTGAGGTGACAGTTAAACTTCAATTTAGACAAGGAATTAGGATACGAAGGTCATGAGTAAAGAAAAGCATTTAGGCAAAGACACAAAAGAATCACATGATCAGTGTAAGCGCAGCAGTTATACTAAAGGGAAGAGAGGAAGAAGGGAGTGAAGCAGGACAGATTACCCTTTGAGATGGTGTGAGCAATTTGGGTTTAAACTGAATGGACAGGGAAGTAACCAGAGGGTTTCATGCAAGAGCCTGACATTGTTTTCACAATTCACATCTGGCTGCTGTCTGAAACATGGTTTGAGGCAATCACTGCAGTTCTGGTGTTTTTATCACTCGGGTGATAGTAGTGGAGATGGAGGGAGGTGTAATGACTCCTGGAGGTAGAGTCAGACTTGCTGATGGACTGGTTATCAGGGTGCAGAGTCACGGATGATTTCCCCATTGCTGGTATGGTAATGTTTCTGAGATAGTGAAGACTGAGAGTTTGGGGGTAAAAAGTATTAGCAAAGCTGGTTTATTTTAAGGTTTATTTTTTTAATTGTTGTACCTTGAAGATATTGAATCCCAACACTATTTTCTCTAACCACATATCCTCTCCTATTATATTCTCAACCTTCCTACTCCCTAATTCCAAGTAAACCTATTCTATTTCTTCACTTTGACCTTTAATCTCCACAATACGTCCTTATTCTCCTGGCCCACCAGCACCCTTCTGTCACCTTTCCCTACCTGACGTATGAGTAGTAAGAAATAAAGGATACTATCTCTCGCTTCCCACATTCCTTTCTGACTCCTACTAAAATCTAAGGGCAGATTCCTACTAAAATCTAATTCATCTTTATATCCCTCTAGGACCTAACATAGTTTCTTGTATATATTATGTGCTCAAATTTCCTCACTTACCCTCTTGTTCTTCTACCATGTTCATGTTGCTACTCCCTACTCTTGGATAAATTCTACCAAGCACTGTTGGGGAATTATAAAACTCTTGGCTGGATCCAATACCAATGTTAGCTCCTATGACTGGTCAATGCCACCTGGTAATCTTAGTCTTCTTTAAGCAACATTCTCTTAGAGTGTCTACAGTGCTTATTTTCAAATCTTTCCCACTATGCTCAAATCCCCAATGCCTCCCCAGCCCCTTCAGTCTCAGCAGGTAACTTTTCTTATTCCTTTACCACATGCATCAAAAATGACTTCTCTTGGGGGCTGGCCGAGTAGCTCAGTTGGTTAAGAGCTTGCTCAAGAGTGCAAACTCTGAGCAACAGGGTCGCCAGTTCAATTCCCGGCCCGAGCTGAGCTGCCGCTGACCTGTCCAAAAAGGGGCAGGGATGGCCCCCAAAAAAAAAAAAAAAATGACTTCTCTCAAGTTTACCTCAAATATTTTTACTTTTCCTCCCTTTTTCTGTTCTTGATTCAGAGAATGGTTTCTCCTTTCTAAAGTTTATATCATATCCCATTTTCCCTTCCTGCCTTTTTTGGAACATCTGTTCTCCAATCTTTTTATCAATCTTTTCCACCAAATACAAACATGCTAACATCTCTTTTTTCTTCATTTCACCACCTTGTGACTTATTGCCTACACCTTTTCACATTCTGTGGTTCTGATAGTTCTCTTTTTTTCTAGGCTATCTTCTTTAAGAATCATATCCACTATTACCTTAATGTAACAAGAGGTATAATATTAGCAAAAATATTTGTATCTAATCCCAACCACTTTTTCTGTTATTTCTGAAATCTTTTTTCTTCCCACATGGTTCTTCAATATACAAAACACTATCCGCAACTCCTTCAACCTTTATTTAAGTTTACACTAACTCTCACAAGAAAAGATGCAGTTGACGTCCCTAGAAACTATCAATGTTGAATTGTCCCCACAATAGGCTAGGAAGTTCCACTAGACAAAGCTCTTAAAAGACTCACAAAATGCTACTGAATACAATTTTCAAGAAGGGTATACAAATGGACTTCCCTATTGAGGAAGTCTGACTCTCAGAATGCAATGGGCAAACCATGATTATAGTCTAAAACAAAAATTGCTCATTTTTTTAAAAGTGAGAAAATAAACTTTATTAAAACTTCAGGTTTGTTTTTAGTAATATCAACCAACCTTGAGATAGTGCCTCAAATATACAATCACTATTGTTTTCCCACCACAATCTTACATTTGGACATTTAAAAGTTCATAATTATCCTCCATCCTCTATTAGTTTTGAAATTTTTTTTAACCCACTGTTACATTTCTCATTTGTGGTTGATAATGCTAGAAAACTAAAATCTCCATTTACTTAATAATCTGTATGTGAAAGACTTTCCCTCTTCTCTTTTTCTCTTAAAGAGATCATGGCTTAAATCACATTATAGTTGTTTTTAGACAAGAATTTGGTTTAAAGGTGGAGCTATTATGAATCCCTTCCAAAAAATGAAAACAAAAGAAAAAGAACTTCACTACAAAATGTTCATACATAAGGCTCTTCCTCAATAAATACTCAAGAAATAGTGTTATAGTAGGATCTATGATAGAGTTCACCACAACCAGTGTCTGATGTTAAACTTTTAAAGGAGTTTTCTTTTTTTAATAGTGTTTCCTTCTTGCAAACAATAATAAACATCATATAATCTTTACTATTTGGAAACCACTTACTGTTTCATTAAAGAACAGTTAAGTATCTTAAAACCTAGCCAACCTACATAATTGAATAATGCATACCTCTAAATAACTTATCACTTTGCGAGGTCTACATTCATAAACTTCTTTTGCATTTTTGTTTAATATAGCATTAAGAATTTCTTTTAAATCCATCATTCCGTAGAATGGGAGACAATTAGCCATTCCTTCTATTTCCAAGTGATTTTCCGCAGCAGAAGCTCCTAGAAGAAAAAAAAATTAATAAAATCATGTATTTTATTATACCACAAAACACATATATTTTATATCATATTTTATTATATCAAAAAACACATATATAGTTTTGTTTTGTTTAAATTATATTCCAGCAAATACCTATTAAAAACAAAACCTCTGTTAAAACATTTAGTGAACCTTCATTAGAATGTAATCCAGTCAGGACACAGTTTTGTTCTTTAGTTGGAGAATAAAAAATAATTTCCCATAGGAATTCACATTCACATTAAGTCCTAAGTGCTCACAGATACCACATGTGCTTTATATCATTTAATTTAATCTCAGTTATTGCTGTTTTGTTCCCTACATTTGTTTAGAACATTTCTTACTTTGGAGAGAAAATGGAGTCCCATGATATTTATTAAAATAAAATTGCTCTAAGTGTTTTAACAACTGTTGTTGTTCAAGTTCTATCCTGCTGGTTTAGTGTCTAACCTAAAGGCCTGGATTATTTCTATGATTATTTTAACTTACAAATCATTATAAAAATACTGACATATTAACTTTCTTTTCCAGAAACTTATTGAGATATAATTTACATAATATTGTGTAAGTTTAAGGTGTAAAAGATTTAATATACACTTATATATTGCGAAATTACCACCACAGTAACTTATTAATGTATTAGTAATTTGAGGAAATGAAATATTAATGGTTATTCAAAATATTTTACTACGACAATGTTTAAAACTGTCATGTTATCTATTATTTCAGCTACTTTAAATAACTTAGTGATTAAAATAAAGCTAAAAACTAGCTATATGGTCAAATATATAATTGGGTAAAATACTCATAACTGCATACATTTCAAAGCATCCAATTTAGCTTTAGAATGCATTTTACGATTTTGACAAATACAATAGCAGAGACTTGTCTTCTTTGGCTGTATCTATGTGATACTGTTCTTAATATTGAAGTCCACATAATGTTACCTTGAAATAAAGAGAATGAGACAGTCCAATGTTGGATAAGTGGCAGCTATAAATAGATTAAAAAAAAAAAAAGGAGTGATGTAGTTTGAAGAGTTTCAGATCCTGATGTGTCAATGATCCTATCCCTAACCTGTTTCCAGTTACAGACCAGCCCCTTGACCTGGATGGCAGAATGCAACAGTGGTATACTAAACATAGCACGCATCCTACTGTTCTTTCTGGGAAACAATTGGAATAGTATAATAAGATATATAATCAAGCACTATGGGATAAAATACAGTTCAGTGAAGGGAGACAAAATGAGAGTTTGAATAACCAGGGGAACTTAAATGGGACTTGAAATAAGGTTTACATAGGCAAAGAAGTAGTAGCATAATCCTGGTTCACATCTTTTTACATATACTGGGGGGGGGGGAGATGCAAAAAAATGAAACATGTATACAAGTGGACACGTTGGTCAACGTTGCTCAAACAGTAGTTCGCCATAATCAGAAGTGTCTGGACGCTGATGGTAACCACTTGGAGGACCTCTTGTAACTGCAGAAGTCAAATGTAACTTGTATTCAATTTTTCTTATCAGTATATATTGAGTATTACAATTTTAATACAGTTTTCCTTTCTTAAAATGTGTATACATTTTTTGGGGACCCTCTGTATATAGATATGTAAATTTACAAAAATATTAGTCAAGAAACTTGTCATAATTGCCAGTTCTATACCTTTAATAGTATGATTAGATTGAAACGTCTAATGCTGACTACATTTGCCCTGGAAAATTGTAAGCATGTCACAGAATTACTTGTGGGTATGGTAAAAAGTATTTGGCAACAGATGAGGAAATTGAGCAATATTTTAATATCTGTGTTTGCAAAATTCAGATATGGAAAACTTAAGAGACATTTGGAACCATGTAACAATAAACATTCAAGAAGTTTCTACATAATTCTATTAAATGCTTCCCAATTTTCAGGGGAAATACTTTAAACCAATAAGAGGTTTGACAAGTTTTCACTTCCTAAAATATGGAATTCTTATTGATGCATAACAAAAAGCTATTCCCATAATGAGTAAAGTTCTTAGGGTCATATTCATATCTTTTCCCTCAAAGCCAGATGTACCCTTCCTGTCTTTCAAATGCCTTGATCCAAAGATGTTTGTGAAAACTGGCAAACTGTTGATCCAAAGTTAAGTCCGCTACAACAAAACTCTGGCTTAAAAAAAGACAAATAGGGGCCGGCCCAGTGGTGCGTTGGTTAGGTGTTGGCTTGGGACACCAGCTCTAGCAGCAGGGCCCCAGTTCAGATCCCACATGAGGGTCAGTGACGCTGCGCCCTCTACAGCTAAGATGGTGAACAACAGCTCAACCTGGAGCTGGGCAGCCGTGAATCACCGGCAACAGCACAGGCTGCAGTGGGGCTGGCCGGCAGCTGGCGTGAGCAGCCATCCAATGGCTGGTGAGTGACTGCCTCACCCGGGAAAAGCGCAATGATAATACCAACATGGGCCAGAGAAGCAACATCCTCCACAACTAGACTGAAGAACAAAAGGACAGCAACTTGTCTGTTCCCCTTCCTCGATTCCCCAACACTGTTCCCCTCCCCCAAATCCCCAATAAAATCTTTAAAAAAAAGAGAAACAGGATTTAAGAAACATTACATAAAAATCAATAAAGTAAAAAGGCTAAAAATAAAGAAAACATAAATGTTTTTAACTTGATCTGTTATTGACAAGAAATAATGCTGATGATAATCTAAGTAAAGTTAATTCCAAACAAATCAAGTCCATTTCCAGATGACTGTCTTATTCATTATCACATCTTTGGTGCCATGCAAAGTACTGGCATTCAACAGGACTTAAAAAAAAACACCACACTATTTACAGGCTAAGAGCAAAAAGCATGTCAGACAGACACTTACTGGGTGTCTCAAAAATAAACATGCTCTTGGAACACAGGGTGATTATCCTAACTCTAAAAAAAATTGCTGTGATAACATCTTTCAAGAAAAAATGGTACCTGCCACCAACACCACACAGTTAATTAGAAAAATAGATTAAGAAAAAAAATGTCTTGTTACATCCCACTCCCACACACTCTCCCACTCGTTTCACACTGCAAACAAATTTTTAAAATGCCAGGGGCCCTGAGGAAGAAAGATTTCTAGGAATAACAGCAATGACTACAAGTCAGTTCAGGGCAGAATCTCTGAATTATCTCAATCAATTATAATTGAGATAATTACATATCTCAATTATAATAGGGAAGGAATACAACATATTTGTTAAGAGCAAGGCTCTCAAGGCAGATGCTTGGGTTTTCAAATCCTGTTCTGCCACTGTGTACCCTTAAGCAAATTTAACTTCTCTATACCTCGATTTTTTCATCTATAAAATGGGGACAGTAACAGAAACTACTTCATAGAGCTATTAGGAAGATGAATAAATACATTTAATATTAAAAATAGTGCCTGACACAATTATTTATGAATTATTAGTTGTTGTTGACAAGGAAACATTTAGGCTGACTTTCCCATAAACACACTGTTTTTAAATGGCAGAGTTGGGATTCAGACCTCTTCACTCCAAATTTAAATATCCAGGACTGAGGTAGGAGGTAAGAAGTTTAGGGTAGGTAGCCTTAAAACTGAAAAAGTCAAATAAAATTAGTTTAGAACACCAAAGCATTTTCAATATATACTTCATTCCATAGTTTTGTACATTGTTGTTACTTATTTTCTTTTGAGGTCTAAATAAAATATTCATTTAAAAACCTTCAACACTGTTTTGCTTAAACTTTGTTTTTCTACACTTTGGTCATGACAAGTTTAGGCATAGGTAAGAAAGGGTAAAAACAGAATTAATTACCTGTACTTGTGCCTTTGTGTGCCCTTTGATACCAGATGAAGGGAAATAGGACAAGACCAGCCTAGGAAGCTAGGGCAGAAGACAGTTACGTATGGAAACTATGAAAGCCCAGAGAAAGGGCCAGCCAGGAAAACTGAAGGCCCCCAGCCAGGTGGATTTTTTTCTCCCCACCCAGTGAATTTCCATACCAAGTAAATAGCTTTATCACAGTCTTTTTATTTTAGCACAGCCATGGAATCAAATCATCCACTCTCCAAATAGTAAGACTGCTGCTGTTACACATCTAATTTGCAAAACAACTAAATGCTTTTAGAAAAGGAAAAGACATGTCCATTTTTGTTCGGTCATTCCAGTAAGCTGCATATTTACTTCTGTTTCATCATCTAAAGAATTATTTAATAACTCAGTTAAACAAACCAGGAAGTTTGAATATTGTGACAAAGGATGGCAAAAATTACAAAACTACTTGATTAGTTATGCAAATGCAAGGCAATGGACTTTAAGAGATGCCAAACTTGCTTATTTCGGACAGATATGACCTGTTTGAAATATGACTGTTTTTACACAGCTACTATTGTACTTTTGGTGAGATAAAAATACACCATGATATCTGTAAATTATGACACCCAAATGTAACTCCTGAAACAAGACTCATTTTTCCAAGTCAGGAAATAATAAACCACATCACCATACCTGGCGTCATTTTTATCTTGAAACCATTCGCTGTAAGACGAGGGTCAGATAGGTAAGTTGATCCATCAAAGCATCTCTGGTCATCTGCTGTCATTTTATATAAAATCTCTAAATAATGAGATCCATCAAAAAGACTGAAAAAGAAATAATGGCCCTTTAACTTATTAAACATGTAAAATAAGAAAATTTATGGAAAAAAATTATCCAAAGGCCCTTTCAAAAGTGCTATCAGTAAGTAACCAACACACAAAGGTATAAGTTACCCAGTGAGAAACTTTACTTTTTTACATTTCTGTTAATATTTTATAGAAGACCTACTACATAGAACATACAGGAGGAAAAACAGATATAAAAGACAGTTTCTATATTCTATAACAGCAGTTCTCAACCTGTGGGTCGCAACCCCTTTGGGGGTCGAATGACCCTTTCACAGGGGTCACCTAAGACCATCGGAAAACAAAAAGATATTTACATTAAGATTCATAACAGTAGCAAAATTATAGTTATAGAGTAGCAACGAAAATAATTTTATGGTTGGGGGTCACCACAACATGAGGAACTGTATTAAGGGGTCGCGGCATTAGGAAGGTTGAGAACCGCTGTTCTAGAATGTTACAAACGATATGTGAAATCAAAAGATGTGCTCTCTCTATAAAATAAACTATATAATACATTAAGCAGACACAATAATACATTGTCAAGTTACTCAAATAGCCCATCCTACCTAATTTTCAATTGCTAGTCACGGTTTCTTCAATAGCAAAAAGATAAACCTGTATCTTTTTCTCCCTGGAACTGATAAATTTAGTAATTCAGAGCTTGGGAGAGTTCCTTCAGTCTACTGTGGGAATGGCATGTTTGCCAAAGATGGCATATGAAATGGTTCTGAGTGGTGCAGGCCTAAAACAAAATTTTGAGTAGCCAGATTATCTGGGGCACAAATTAGCCTATCATGTTGGTTTTAGGCTTAATCATAGGACTCATAACATGCTATTACAATAAAGTATCTGTTTGGGTTGGATGTGAGTGGTTACCATTTTCCCAGTCAGTCAATAAATATTTGAGTGTCTCCCAAGTGGTAGATGCTGCCTTTGATGGGCAAGACACTGTTCTATGTTGCAGTACAGGATGATGAGCTGCTACTTCATTATAATCCTGTACCCCTTGAAAAAGTAAATGAATAATGTTTTTGCTTATCATCTCTGAAAGGCACAGGATCCCACTGACTGAGAGAGCACATATCACAGGCAGAAAAGCTTTGGCTACATATCAGATGTGCTGTGTGTGGTCTAACCAACCAAAAATCAATCCGAGCCGGTGGTGGTGGTGATGGATAGTATAGCAAAGAATGGTGCAGGCTCTACAGCTACTGTCTAGATTGGACTCTTGGATCCAAAGACTTATTGGTTGCATGAGCCTAGTTAAGTTATTTAACAGTTCTGTGTTTCAGTTTCCTCATTTGTAAAATATGGATAATGGCATTAGCTACCCCTCATAAGGTTGTGAAGATTATGAAAGCACAGGCTTAGTAAAGTTCCTATCATAAGTGTTCAATAAATATTAGTCATTGTTATTATCAAGCTCTTACTTTGTATTTTATAGATCTCTAGGTTATTCCATTCAGAAATAAGCTACACAACCTGCATTAGAACTTTGGTGAGAAAACTGAGCCCAACCCATAATTACCCCATCCATAGCTCAGTTTTGAAAAACTTAATTATTAACTGTAATGGATATGTCCCATTTCAGAAAATTTCAGATACACCCAAGTTCTTTTTAAGGGAAGAAAAAGTATTAGTAGATATTTGTGCTATTTTAATACAGCCTAAGGCTGCATTAATTCGTTTTCTGATTCTTCCTTTGACATGTCCTAAGCCAATTTATACAAGAAAGATGTTGGATTTTTGTTAATGCGGTTACTGCTGCCTTAATTATAAAAGATAGCTTTAACAAATGTTTTTCTGTATTATTGTTCTGTTTTTGTATTTTTTTTCCCTTCTGGTGCCAGTCTTGAACACAAGGGTTTTAATACATTTTATAAACTATTTTTGATTTATTCTTAGAACTTCTGAAACAGTTATCTAGTGATGTATCCTAGAGAACAAATAGCAATGTTGTTGTTTTTTTTAATTTCAGGTTTTTATTTCCTGTTACACGTGTTTCTCTCCTACGTGTCATAATAAAAAAGAAATATTAAGTGTAAAAGGGAAATGTTAGTAAGTTAGTTATTACTCATTTTTACATAAAATGATTTGCTCATATAGGATATGAAAAGAAAACACCCCATTTTACAATCTACAATAAAATTAGTTCAGGCAATCAATCAATGGATGAAACCATTAGATGAAAAGATTGGTAGGGAACTTTAAGGTGGGAGATCAGGCTGTCAGCAGCTGAGCCCAATGATAAGTGCCTTTTGATGTGATGAAATACGAAGCGCACTGCGCCACCTACTCAGCAGTCTTACCAGAAAGTAGAACCTAAATCTGTTCACTCCTCCTGACCTAACATTTAAATACGGAAAGGGAAAAACAAGTTGACCACCACCAAACGGAAGCAAAGACATGAACCAAGCAATTCATGCCATTAAAGATTAGAAATCAAGTTTTAAAAAGATTTCTTTAAATAAATACCACTTTGCCTAGAAGGAAACACTTTCAACTTTTTCCTTTAATCTCTGATCTAGTATAGATTAATAAATGTTTTTAGAATTAAAAAAAAAATGGTATTACTTCACCATACCTCTCTGTTAATGTAATTGGCTTTTCCAGTGGCTGTACAGGAAGTTTATGATTCTCAAGAAGTCTTTTAAATAGCAAGGCTTCTTCCACTCTATATGGATTTAATAACATTATTTCTGTTTTGGATGTAATTAGCCATGCATCAGGAAACTTGAGATTATGGATCAAGCAAAGTTCATCCTTCTCTTCTAGTTCAACTTTCTTATGTTTCTCAAAATTTTCTTTTAAGTTTTCCATAGAAAAGGGAATCTGAACTGTTTTAATGTTTTGGTTCTTTTTTTTTTCAATCTGGGACTGAAAGAGCTCATCAAGTTTTGGCTGATTAGATAATGAAGTTTTCAACTTGTGCTTCTGTGCCAAATTCCATGAACTGGTGGGTTTTATCTTTTTTCTGCCATCTTTTAATGAGATTTGTGACTCCTGTTCAGTGGCTCTCTTGATTTGCCTATTGTATCGTTCGAAGTCTTTAGCAGCCCTCTCTTCATATCTATGAATGGAGATAAAACAGAACTAATCAGGTCATAATCAGAAAATATATTAACCAACTGAAGTAAATTTTTTAACAAAATAGAGCTGGCATTCCAGGTCTGGTAATGATGGAGCTTATATTGGACTAATATAAATATATGGAGCATAGATTTATCATATATATGAATATGATAAACTGCACAAGATATAGAAACCAACCATTTAAAACACACGGAAGAGCAACCAAAAGTAGGCAGAAATTGGAATGGATTCACCCTTAAAAAAAAGAGATCCACATTTATACAGCCTTTACTCAGCGCAGTCTCCAGAATTGAGCGGGAGTGGCAAGAACTCAATCAGAAAGCTGCACTCTTACTTGAGTCATCAGAATACAGAGCTCCTTACTTCCAAAACAAATGGAAATTGAGGGAGAAAAGTCCTATGTGTAGCAACCTAGAGGAAAACAATCACTAGAAGGTTAAATGCCCTAAACAGAGATTTCAGTGGCTGCCCACTGCAGAGGAAAGGGTTTAGAGTTTGAATTCCACATAATTAGATGGTGTGGTAAATACTTTGGGCTTTCAATTAAAACTGAAGGGCCACATTTTAGGGGTAAGAAAAAAACTGTCCTGTAACTATAGAAGCTGCCCTAGGGCTAAAGGTTAAAATTTACAGTCCATCCCTAACGAAGTGTAAAACAAAGCTTCCACAAGCTCAAGGTGATCTGTCAATAATTTAAATATGTGGCAGAACAAAATCCAACACTTTTCAGAAGAAAACAGAATCCATAGTTTCTACAACACATCACCTACAATGTCTCTTATACAATCAAAAGTTATCACAGAAGCAATAAAACAGAAAAATGGGGATCATGGTCAAGTGGAAAAGTGGTCAGTAGAAACCAACCTCAAGATGATTTGGATGTTGAAACTTGAAAATAAAAAAGTTTTTAAATAGATTTTTATAAATATTTATGAACTTAAAGGAAAAGGTGATCATAATGAGAGACTGGGAGAGGGAATCTCAACAGAGAAGAAAAATCATAAAAAAGAACCAAATGGGAATTCTAGAATGAAGAAACAAAATACATGAAATAAAAATTTCTCTTGGTAGGCTTAACAGCAGATCAAAGACGGCAAAAGAAACAGTCAGTAAAATAGAATGTAGATCAGTAGAAATTATCCAATCTGAACAACAGTGAGAAATATGATTGAAGAAGTTTAAAAAATACCTTAGTAACCTATGGCACACAAGCAACCTAACATATGTAATTGGAGTCCCAGATAAACAATAAAAGTGAGGCAGGGGACCATTTGAAGAAATTATGGCTGACAAATGACCAATTTGGAGAAATACAACATTTTACAGAATCAAGGTCAGTGAACCCAAGCAGGATAAATGCAAAAAAATCCACAGCTAAGTATAGTAGAATGAAATTGCTGAAAACCAAAGACAAAGTTCTAAAAGCAGTCAGAAGAAAAAAAAAAAAAGACATTACAGAAAAGGAACACCACCACAAAATGAAGATAAAAATAGATATTTTCAGATAAAAGAAAGCTGAGATTCTGTTTGCAGCATCACTGCGTTATTAAGGAATGACACCAAATGGAAACTCAGATCAACAGGAAGAAATAATAGCACCAGAGCTGGCAGCTATGTAGGTAAATAGAAAAAAATGATCCTTTAAAAAATACTCTTATTTCTTTGGAAGATAACTGTTTAAATTTTTTAAAAAAGTATTTAAAGTAAGATTTATATTGTATGTGGATATAAAATAGATGAGACCAACTGCAGAAAGGACATGAGTCGTAAATGGAATTATACTTGCAAAGTTTTTATATTTTATGTGAAATTATACCCTATTAACTCTAAGTAGATTATGATAAAGGATAAAGTATTCCCCAAAGCAAAAAGTACCAATCCAAGAGAAGAATTAAAATTAAATGCCAAATTATATTGTTAACCCTAAAGAAGGCTGCCTCTCCCAAAAAAGGTGGAACAGAGGAACAAAACAAATGAAATGAACTAATAAAATGGTAGACCTAAATCCAACAATGTCAGTTATTACACTACATGGACTAAATATTCTAATTATAAGGCAGAGACTGTCAGACTGAAAATTAAAAATTAAAAAAAAGCAAAATCCAGCTACGTGTGTCTACAAGAGTTATACTTTAAATATAAAGACACAGATAGTTTGAAAGTAAAAGAATGGAAAAGATACACCATGCAATTAGTAAGCAAAGAAAGTCAGAGTAGCTATAGCAATGCAAGATGAAGTAAATTTCAACAAGAAATAATACCACAGATAAAGAGGAATATTTCCTAATGACAAAAGAGGTCATTAGGAAGGCTTAACAATCACAAATGTGTATGCACCTAATAACAGAGCTTCAAATTACATGAAGCAAGACTAAAAGACCCAAAGACAGAAATAAATCCAGGATCATAGTAGGAGACTTTAGTACCCCTCCCTCAGTAACTAACAGAACTAGACCAAAAAATAAAAATCAGTAAATCTATAAAAAATTTTAGCTGCTATCAACTACCTTAACTTCATTGACATTTTGGAACACTCCATCTAATAACTGCAGAAGTCAGATTATTTTTAGGTGTACATGGAACACTCATTAAAACAGACCACATCCTAGGCTTAATTCTCAAAAAAATTTTCAAAAAACTGAAATCTAACACAGTATTTTTCCTGTCCATGACAAAATTAATTAGAAATCAATAACAAGATATTTAGGGGGAAAAAACACAAATATTTGGAAACTAAACAATACAGCTTTATTTGTAATAGCCCCAAATTGGAAACAACCCAAAGGTCCATCAACTGAAGACTGAACAAACAAATTGTGGTAGGTAGGTGCCACACAACGACATTTCAGTTAACAAGGGACAGCGTGTATGAACGTGGTCCTATAAAGTTGTAATGGAGCCAAAAAATTCCTACTGCCTCGTGAAGTAGTAGCCTTTGTAACATCATAGCTCAACAAATTACTCATGTTTGTGGTGATGCGGTATAGACAAACCTACTGTGCTGCCTGTCATATAAAATTTTAGTACATACAATTATGTTGAGTACACAATACTTGATCATTATAATAAGTGACTGCTACTGATATGTACTTACTATAGTATACTTTTTATTGTTATTTTAGAGTGTACTCTTTCTACTTACCAAAAAAAGTTTGCTGTAAAACAGTATGCTATGTTATGCCAGCAGGAGCCCCACACATCTTGTTTACTGCATCTGTTGATTGCATCATTTTCTCTTGTGCTTGACTTTATCTCGTGTTTTGTAAATTTAGTGTAGTTTAAGTGTAGTGTTTATAATGTCTGCAGTAGTGTAACATCCGAGGCCTTCACATTCACTCACCACTCACTGACTCACCCAGAGCTCCATTCATGGTAAGTGTTCTATACAAGTGTACCATTTTTTATCTTTTATACAGTATTTTCACTGTACCTTTTCTGTTTAGATATGTTTCAATATACAAATACTTACTATTGTGTTACAATTGCCTATTGTATTCATTACAGTGACATGCTGTACAGGTTTGTAGACTGGGAACAATACACTATACCTATAGCCGTTTGTGTAAGTACACACTATAATGTTCACACAATAACAAAATCATCTAACAATGCATTTCTCAAAACATATCCCCATCATTAGGCAGTGCATAACGGTATGTTTATACAACTGAATATAACTAATTGATTAAGTAGAATGAACTAAGCAGGCACGTTCAACAAATACGAAAATCACAAAAATATTTTGTTGAGAGGAAGAAGCTAGATATAAAAGAGTACATACATATCATGATTTTATATGATGTTCAAGTCTGGCAAAAGCAAATTCGTGTGACAGAAATCAAAGCAGTGGCTTGCGTATGGAGAGTGAATGGTAAGTGGCATAAGGGAACTTTCTGGGGTGATGGAAATGTTCTATATTATGTTTGAGGTGGTGGTTACATGGGTATGCACATATGAAAAAGCACTGAACTATATATGGTTAAGGTCTATGCATTCCACAGCTGCTAAATTTTACCCAATTTTAAAAACCATTTAAGAAAATGTTGAAGACACAGGTACTAAAAACCAAACAAACGAAAAAACCATTACAGGGCCGGCCGAGTGGCGCGATGGTTAAGAACTGGCTTGGGAGGCCAGAGGGCCCCGGTTCGGATCCCTCATGAGGGCCAGTGACACTGCCCTCCACAGCTAAGATGCTGCACAACAGCTCAACCTGGAGCTGGGCTGCCAGGAGTCGCTGGCAACGGCGGCATAAGCTGCAGATACAGAGGCTGTGGGTTGCCATGGGCTACCGTGTGCAGCCAGCAGCCAGCGTGAGCGGCAGTCCAGAAGCCGGTGACTGATGTGCTTTGCCCGGGAAGAGCGCAATGATGGTGCTAACTTGGGCCAGTGAAGCAACGTCCTCCACAACTAGACTGAAGAACAAAACGACAGCAACTTGTCTGTTCCCCTTCCCCCAATTCCCCAGCCCTGTTCCCATCCCCCCAATTCCCCAATAAAAATCTTTAAAAAAAAAAATTACAAAGAAATAATAAAGTTAATTCCAGATCTGAAGAGTTCCTTATACTTTTGCTATCACATCAACATGGAATAAACAACTCCCTGAGTACAACAAAAGAAAATTTATATACATTAATACTCCATTTACTAATTAGATACTAGTAAAATTAAAGTCACTATAAATAACATGCAAAAGAAAAATCATGACTAACTTTATAATACTTTCATAACTGTTTATTTTTTCAGTTGCTATTTATTTTAGAGTCAACAATAAAAAAAATAAATTCTAATAAACTGAACAAATCCAAACTGCTTAATTTAATTCAATGTCAAAGGTACAAAATAATGGATGTTTTAAAATTATATGGGTTCTAGCATAGTTGTTCTACCAACCCTTTTCTAAAAAACTGGGATGCCTAGGTCTCATCCTGAGTTTCTAATTCTCTAGGCCTAGGTTGAGGTCAGGCAGTACTATTTTTAAAGAGTTCCATGGGTGATTCTAAAACATATGCACAATGGAAAACTACTGTTAGGTGTTCAGCAAAGTGTAGTGGTTAAGGACACAGATTCTGGAAACACACTGCTTGGCATGGTTCTACTACTTAGTAATTCTATACACCTATGCAAATTATTTAATTTTTCTGTGCCTCAGTATGCTCATCTGTAATATATGGATAATCTACAGTTACTTCAGTTTTGATGTGAGGAATAAAAAGTGTTAAGATATGTCAAGTACTCAGAATAGTGTTTGACACATAGTTAATGGAGATGTTTGCCATCATTTTCTATCAAGAATTACATACCTTATAATAAAAGAGGCACATGACTGACTAAAGTTTGGTAATTATTTAAGCAACCTTGTTAAATTTTTTTTTTAAATGAAGTTTTAAATTTTGAGACTAGGGAATTAATGTTATTTCTTATTTTAAGAAACTCTGGCTGAATTCTATTGTAGGTAATATACATAAAACAGTTTTAAGGGGGAAATCTGAATAGATATGTGTTAGGAAATAAAAATGATGTTATTGGGGAGAACTATATTAAATATTAAACGTGAAACTAAGAGACAAAAGGCCACACCATTTTATGTAATTTGTACTTAGTACCTGTTTTAAATAAAGAAATGTTAGCTGGATAAAAATGTCAAAAAAGACTTTGTTCCACTGTAAACAAGATGAAAGTGCCTCTTTTGGTTACTCACCATGACTTACTCATAAGTTTTAAATTATTTTCCCTCATTTCTACTTAGAATCTGAACTTCTGGATCAGCTATATAAAGTACATGATTACTTTAATTTCAATAGATACTACGATTAAGTGTTTTTAGTGCCTGGATATTCAAATTCAAGATTTTTCCTGTACGGTGGAAACTGAGTTCAAGATGAAGGTCACCATTTGTAATTAATTATCATGTGCAAATTTTCACATATGGTACTAATCTTTTGATTTACTCAAGAAGTCAACTTCATTAGTTCCTTGGGAAACATAAAAAGTTATGTCCAAAGGAATAGTAAGTGAATGTTAAGTAAAAACAGCTGCTACCTTTGACTTAATGTCATTAAGGGATTTAGTAACTTGAATGAAAAATATTAATTCTGATTTGACCAGTAATCAATTCAAGTGATGTTTTTGTGACTAAAGATTACACTTAATTACAAAATGTATTTGCCACTTTCAATAATTTCCCAATTACATTATTCTTAGTTATTTTAAATACAAATATGTTCATACCTACTGCAAATTAAAGTTCAAGTTAACATCAATTGACTGAGACCCCAGTGGCAGCGTACATGGCCTAAATCTCGTTTCTAAGCTACTAGAGGTAAGGAGAGGAAAACAAGGGGAAAAAACAAAAAAAACAAAACAAAAAACCCAGAAAGGAAGAACTGGAAAATGAAAGTATCCCTACCACAAAGTCTGTCCTAAATTCTCAGCAGAAAATCCTGACCTAGTTCTTTTCCAAAATCTTTGCTACGGCTTACAGAACCTTCCATGATCTGGCTTGCCTTTCCTCATCTGTCTTTATCACAGTCCCCAATATTCAGTTCTTATCTGAGAGGACATCTTTTAGTTCCTCAAATAACCATTTTTCCTTCTAGTTTCTGGCCTTTCTTAAATGCTGTTCCTTCTAGTGTTTTCATTATTCTCTTTATTTTCTTTCAAAACTCATCACATTCTATGACTACTACTGTCTCCCTCACTAGACTGTACCACTTCTAAGTAGAAAATGTTTGATTTATTACTGTTTCTGAAGTGACTAGCTCTAGTACATAGGGCTTTGTACACAAAATACCCTCAATATAAATTGCCCAATAGAAGGAAAGAAGGGAGGGAAGGGGGAGGGAGGGAGGGAGGGAAAGAAAATGAAGGAAGAAAGCAAAAGAAAGGAGCAGATGTGAAAGAAGCAGGAAGAACAGGATAAAAGGGAAGAAAAGGAAGGATGGATGAAGAGACTGATTATCTGTGGAAGAGAAGTCCACTCTCATAACGCTTAGTACTCCTAAAATTTAGGATCATGGAAAGAATTCCAAGATAAAGACTAGACGAGAAGTGGTAGTGCTATGACTGAGTGTGATATTTTTGTTCTGTTGTCAAATCATGATTTAGACATAGCCAATCATGGTCCCAAGACTCCTGGCTCTGGAAGATTCTAATACAGTATTTTGTGAAATAGAGTAAGCTTTCTGATGTCAAGATATCTGTATTTTCTTCAGTCTTCTATTTCTGTCCTCTAGTGTAAATTTAATCTTGACTAAGCAAATGGAAAATAATGTCAATCACAACAGAGCAATTTATTTTACACATATTAAACATCTGATTAACATCATGAGCAATCAATCATTTAACTATGTGCCAGTCATTTATCTTGTATCATAACATACAACATCTTATACAAACCTCGTAACAATCCAGGAAATACTGTGCACACATTTTTACAAAAAGCTAGCAAAGGGGGGATGAAGGGTTTGAACCAGGTGTACCTTCAGAGGTCTGCTCTTGACTAACCCTGCCTCTTTGTCTTCCTTGTGGCAACGAGAGAGAAAATTTTGGAACTCCAGAATAATGCCTCATGATAAACAAATTTTTAGATGAAGGCTTAATCCTTGTACCCTGACACCTTAGGCTGTACAAGGAGAAACGATGCTGACATTACCCACAAGACAACAGAACAGTACCTGCTATTCTGAGGCTGTAAGGGAACAGCTATCTCACACTGTCCCTATTTCAATGAGAATGGGAACCATCTATGCTTTTTTAATTTTTTTCTATCCTCAGACAATTATTAATGCATCACCTCCCTGGTAAATGCAATTTAACTTTTGTGGGTTTGCTGTACTAAAAGTACATTCACTCATCTTTAAATTGCATAGTTCTGTCACTTAGATAAAACTAAAGACAATCACAATGCGTGACTCTTATTTGCATCCTAATTCAAATAAACAAATTTTTAACAACCTGACATAATTATAGAAATCTGAACACTGAATAGTTAATGATATTAAGGAATTCTTGTTTTAAGAAGTTATGACAATTGTATTATGGCTATATTTAAAATAAGAGTATCTTTATCTTTTACAGACACATGCTAAAATATTTATGAAATATCAACAGATGATATTATCCTAGGATTTGCTTCAGAATAATGGTGAAGGGGAAGCGAAGTCAGTAGAGGGATGGATGAAACAGGACAGACCATGAGCTGTTGGTTGGCAAAACAGGGTGATAGGTTCACTATACTGTTTTGTCTACTTTTGTGTGTGTGTTTGAAAAAAGAACCAAACAATCATCCCCATGAAATAAGCAAATGAAGGTGAAAAGAGAAGTTAATTTATGGAGGTTTTGCCTATTGGTACTAATAGTGGTCTTTATTATTTTAAATTGATAGTATCTTTAAAAGACTGAATAAGCTAAGGGGGAAAAAAATCAGTCAAGTATTCATGATTTGATCACCAAATAAACTCTGGATGATTGGTTATACTTAAATATTTCCTCCATGTTTGACATAGTATTGAGATGCCTTAGATAATAATATGTGATTCAAAGTATAATTTCACTCTTTCATTTTCTGGTGGGCTAGATTACTCAAACATGCTATTTTGTGTTTATCATAAGTGCCCTAAGTCAATTAGAAACACTCATCAGATTATCTGGGAATATTTACTCAGATAATCTAATCTAAATACGGCAAGTAATATGTAGTTATTTTAATCAAAAATAGATCAAACCACCTATTTACTTACCAAAAAAGCCCACGATAGTTTATAAGTTCCCAAATCAGAAATAAGTAAGATTTTAGAAGGAGGCCTTGAGTTATACTAAATAAGGACGGTATGAACACCATTAAATTCAATCTGCAACAATGTTAGAATTTTTTAACAAATAGTTAAGCTGTACCAAAACAAAAAACAAAACTAAAAGTCTCTAGCAAAAAAAGTGATGCCAAGAAAGGCACTCTAGCCAAGCCAAAAGGCATTTTCCATCCTGTTTTTCCATAAATAAGAAGTTAAAAAAGATTTTTAACCCAATGAGTCACATAGAATGGAAATATCTGAACATTCAGGTCACATGCAAGCTCTGGAAACTTACTTGAGTTTTTCCTCTTCACTCAATGTCTTCCACAGTTCTTCAATTTGTATTATTGCATCCTCCAAACTGGTCTTAGGATTTTCTGTGAGAAACTGAACACGATGATCTTGGACAAAAAGGTCACTTGCTGACATGGGTTTCTTGATTACGTGATTGCTAATTAAATCATAAGCTGTAAGCTGTCCAGATTTGTTGTCTACCACATTTGATTTTTTGTTACAGGAACCCTCACTGAGATTCTTTTGTTCAGGGCTTAGATTATTATTATTACTTGCTTTACATGCTGAACTTCCTTGAGGCACTAAAATTTTCACAGGTTCAATGTTTTCTCCTACTGAATTTTTAAGTGCATTTCCCTTGCTCCAGTCATCTGCACAAATTTCCAAAGACTTATCAGGAACCGCTTGTTCCTTATTTTTCCCACACTCATCTACATGCTCTTTATTGCCATTTTCTGATTGGGTGTGCATAATAGAACCTACAAAACAAGTTTCATTGTATTCCTTCTGGGTGTCCTCACATGATAAATTACTCCCTGTGATCTCCTGAAATGTATTTCTATTGTTCTTATCAATGTGAGAATTTTCAATACTAAAATGATCATCGTAATGGTCACCAACACATATATGATGATTTAAACAATAATTAGTGTTTTTTCCAGATTCATCATTATGCACATCATTTTGAAAAGGAATGCTTGAAGTATCAACATTTGGATGATTATTTCCAGATGATTCCATCTTATTAAAAAGCACATCTGTTTCTGCTGTTTTACTAACAACCATGTCAGCTGAGGAAACATCTGTTTTATTATTTTCATAAGAATTTGTACTAGGTAGTGATCCATAACAAGATGTCATCAGGTTTTCAAGAGCAATTAAAACAGAGTCCTAAAAATATAAATTAACAAATGTTACAGGAAATTATGAACATAATAAATAGACAAGATTTAAAGTAATATTTAAAAATATGTATAAAGAAGTTAATCTCCTTTGTGTTAAAAAATGGTCAGGACTGTATACGCTTGTAAATAGCATAAATTAACACAAAATTATCCAGAAAGGGTTACCTTATTCTGTAATAATACTTGACTTTTATCTGGTGTTAAATTTACATCCACATCAGCTGTAGCAACATCAATTTTCAGAAAGAAAGTGGGATACAAACGAGTAGATTCCTTTAGGCACTTCAGACTGTAATAACGTCGGATTAACTAGAAATATATGTAATGAATAAGACAAAATACCACATAAATATAGTATTGCCATCCTTAAAATACCAACAGAAGGAGTATATTCATTTGAGAAACTGAGTGGATATGTTAACTGCTTATTAGGAAAAGCAGTACCTAAATAATAATCCTCATTTTAGGCCTTGAACTATATAAATGAAGCACAAGCATTCATTAAATATACATAGCCAATGCAACCAGCTTCATGGTTAAAAGATCAGAGTATCATGGAAGGTTTGAAAGTCCAGAGTTCAAATCCAAACTCTGTTACTTACTAGCTATGTGGTCAAGAAAGTCACTAACATTTCAGTTTCTTCACTATAAATAATGATAATAATATATCCCAAGGTGGTGGTGAAAAGTCAATGAGACATATACATAATGTACCTAAAACAATGCTTAATAAATGTTATTGTATCTCTTTTTCTCCTTTTCCTCATTTTAGAGCAAAGTCTTAGAAGTAATCCTTGCAACAAGTTGAAAAATGACAGGGCTAGTTTTTATTTCTGATCCAAATGATACTTTTCTTAAATAGATTACCTTTAATATGTCTTTTTGGTGTATTGGTCTACTGTTTATAAAGATGAAACTCTTTTCTGGGGTTGAAAGACTTGTGAAAGAGTGATCTGCATCATGCTTTGGAAGAAATCCAGTTAGATGAATCTAAAATTACAATAAATAATTACAGAATCAATACACAATGTCAAAAATAAATGTGGGTCCATGGGTCTGGCTATAAACATTAAAAGGTATAAAAAAAAAGAAACAAATGGATTTTCATCTTAAGGTCTAAAGAGCCACATACTTCCTGAAACCATGTCTTAAATAAACTTAAACCTTAAATAAAATACCAAAGCATGTTAAATTGGGGCTCTCTGCCTCTTTCTATTTTGCAATTGTATTTTAAGGAAAAACTGGCATTCATAAAAGTTTCATGAATGGGCATATATCTTACCATCACAGGACATATAGCATAAACACTGCTCTCTACTCAGTTTTACCTTCCTTTTGTCTTTACAATTTTTCTTCCTAATATTGTGACTTTCTTCTGGCTATTTTTCCTTGTCTTTTTTAGCCATTTTTTTCCTTAAAGAAAGTAAATCTGACTGGGATTTCATTTCTGAGTTAAAAATCTCTTGCTCTTTGACACAGATTGCAGTGTTGTACTTTATCTTCACTTTTGTTTAGAGAACCTTTCTACAAACAAATCAATTATTTTAATGCATTCTTTCTCTATTTTACAAATGAAAAGAAAGGAGAAAATGAAGAAGGATCCAGAGCAAAGAGAGAAACTGAGGGGACAGAAGGCAAGGAAAACCTCCTTTTATTTAAAGATACTATAGGGAATCTATATTAAGGATACAGGTTAGGGCCAGATTGACGTGTTTTAAATTTCAGCTCCACTACTAGCTATGATCTTGGTCAAGTTATTTAAAATACAGGCCTATAATTTCTTATCTGAAACAAGTGGAACCAGATGTGTTATTAACCAGTTAAAAAACACTAATAGTAAAATTCTAGCTTAGGTTTAGAAAAGAGAGAATGCGGGGGGGGGG